TGGCTCTTTTCTTTCGTTTTTATGTTATTTTTATTCATTTTTATTACGTTCAAATAAATTTGAGGTTTAACGTGTGTATATATACATACTTTACGTATACATTTGTTCGATTTCAATACACGTAAGTGAAAAAAATATATAAATCTTTGATAGCACTATTCAAAGATATATGTTTCCCTTTTGTGACGACTATTTATTTTGAAATATTGTTCGTTTCAAATTTTCATCTTTTTCTTGTTCATAACTGAAAATAAATGTTTGAATACAAACATGTGTAACGTGTTTTTTCAATAGGGAATGCGTTATGTATACTGTCAAGTAACTGTCAGTCATATTGTCATTTAGTATAAAGTCATAACATTGTGAAATTCATTTCTAACAGTGCTCTTTTCTAAAAATATTATTTTGATTTGCTCAAATAGATGTGAAAACTCATATCATTATCAATTAAATTTAACTCGTGTAACATTCAGTGGAATATACGAAAAATCTACACAATACTGTAAAAAATTGCCTTTTTTGCAACGAAATTGTATCATTCCATTCGTATCGTCATCTCATAACATTGTGAAATACATTTTTAAATCGAAAAATGGATAGTTGCCGAGGAAACATCAACAACTTCTGTTACGTTTGTGGAGAGTTCACACCGATCTTAGACTCAACAAAAAAATCAGCTGAAAGAAAGAATCGTGTCATCAGTGATGATTTCAAGAAAGCATATAAACTATATTTCGATCAAGATGTAATTGAAGGTGTGAATTGGGTGCCAGACTCAGTGTGCATGACATGTTACACTGGTCTTATGAAATGGATGGACCAAAAGCAAACACAAATGCGTTTTGGTGCCCCCATGATATGGACTGATCCGGGAGCGCACAATCCAAACAACTGTTATCCATGTCGTAATTTTGTCCGCGGAATGAATGTAAAAAATACAAAATCGAAAGAATACTTTGCCGTTCCGAGTGCCCAAAGGCCACTACCTCACTCAGACATCATTCCTGTGCCAAACGCTCCAACTCCAGATCGTGTAACTGCTGTCACTGCTACCACAGGTCCTCAAGAAGAAACACCTGATTATACGTTTTACGATCCAGGAGAAGGAGCTTCAAACCAGCCAAATCTTTTGACACAAGATCGACTTGATTTCATCGTTTCCAAACTGGAACTATCTCAGCGCAAAGTCGAAACTCTTGCATCTTTTCTCAAAGAAAATAACCTTTTGGCACCCGGCACCAAAATAACAGCTTACAGAAGCCGCCAGAAAAGTCTACAGGAATGTTTTATGACTGGACTTGATAAAACATATGCGTATTGTCACGATGTCGAGAAATTAATGCAAGCAATGGGAATTGTTTACAAAGCCGAGGACTGGCGACTGTTCATTGATTCTTCGAAAAACAGTTTGAAGGCAGTGCTGTTGCACAAGACTAATTCGAAACCGTCGGTCCCCATTGCTTACAATACTGAGACCGAAGAAACGTATGACAAAATACGCACGATTTTGCGATTGGTGGATTATGACAAACATAAATGGCGCATATGTTGCGATTTAAAGATGGTTGCGATACTCTGTGGTCTGCAAACAGGATACACAAAGTATATGTGTTTTCTATGCAAATGGGACTCACGATATAAAGGAAACCAATATCAGACATATTCGTGGCAGAACAGAGACAAACATGTATTGCATGAGTTTAATGTTGAAAACGAAGCTCTTGTGCCACGTGAGAGTATATTATTACCCTATCTTCATGTCAAACTTGGAATTGTAAAAAACTTCATTAAAGCTGTTGTTGGCAACAAGAAAAATAGACGTCATGCTGCTTCAGTGTTGCAACTTTTGCGAGAAGACGTTTTCAAAAAGAAAATCAGCGAAAGCAAATTGCGTGGAGGTATGAATCAAATATATTTTTACTTATTTCATATCTCGTCTCATTTCACATGTTAATCATGTTTAAAATTAATCAATCTTTTTTCTGTTAGGCGTTGTCAATGGTCCCGATATCAGAAAACTGATAAAAGACGAGAGGTTTGACGCAATTTTGAAACCATCACAAAGAAGAGCCTGGTCGGCCGTAAAAAAGGTCATCAAGGGATATTTAGGAAAGCATAGATCACCCGAGTATGATACAGAAATAACTGAAATGCTCGGTTATTTCAGTAAAATTGGCGTAAACATGTCGCTTAAAATACATTTTCTGCATCACCATTTGGAGTACTTTGAAGATCAAGCGCCAACAGAATCGGACGAGCAAGGCGAAAGGTTCCATCAAACGGCGATTCCATTTGAAATCAGGTAGTATTCTCGCCATACCCATGTATAATGAAGTTTGTCTGATAAAATTGTTTTTTTTTTTCAGATACAGAGGAAAACGGTCGCCGGATGATATTATGGCAGAAATTTGCTTGTGGTGCAAAAACCTCTTTGAAGAAACTGAAGAACAGGGTGAACCGATGGAAGTGGACGATGGAAATGCACAAGAAGACGCACGAGAAGCTGACCGATTTGCTGATTTTATTGCTGATTCAGACGATGATGATTTCGATGAAGAAGAAGAGGAAGGAGAAGGCGAAAGCGAAGGCGATGGAGAGGAAGAAGAAGAAGAAGGACAAGAGCTAGAGGAAGAAGAAGAAGAAGAAGAAGTAGAAGTAGGAGAAGAAGTAGAAGTAGAAGAAGAAGCAGCGGCAGCGGTTGCACCACCACCAAAAAAAAGAGCCAAATAAATTTAAGATAAATTTTAAAAATAATTTCTAAGTTACTAATCATTTTATTTCTAACGAACACCATTTTCATTTAAATATGACCGAATTTTAGTATAAGCCCTTTTTTATATAGACAAATTTATTTGAAAGTAATAAAAATGAATAAAAATAACATAAAAACGAAAGAAAAGAGCCA